TTTCATTTACATAGGAACAAAGGAGATACCAGCAAAAAAGCTTCTAAACAATAGAAGCACGTAGGCCTATGCTGTGATGCTCAGTTTTGCAAGAATCAGCTGTAAAATGCCTATTGCTTCTTGCCCTTTTGTTAGACTGCCACTAATTTCATTGGAACACTTAAGGTACCATTCAGTGTGATGCAAGGAAATACATCCAGCGCTTAAAATCGAAGGTGCTTCAAAAATTGTTATGTGGCTGCCAGTCCCCCAGCTATGCTCGTTAATGGCATCTGCAGCCACTGAGCAGCCTTCTTTCTCTCTAGATAGTATCCACAGACACCTTAATCAAAGCCAGCACCAAATACCCACAAAAAAAGGGAGGGAGGGAGAATCACTTTAGCAACAGAAGCAGTGCTGCTGCCTTCATTTTCTTCGAGGCGTTTTAGTGTCTTAAGTTGTAGGTAGAATTTGAATCAAGAAAAAGAGCTAGCAATAAAGCATAGAAGAAGATCAGAATGTTAAGACTGTGGTGTAAGTTATCTAAACTCACAGACACTAAAGCATATGAGAATTCAGTCTCTAACCTTAGTGTAGCTAGAGGACAGGACTAACAACAGATATCCCAAAGGAATGGCTGAAATACAAAGCAGTAAGGGAAAAAAAATCCATTGAGTTAGAGTGAAGACTTTTAAATCTTGTCCATCTGGACAGCGCAGCAACCAAAGCTCAAGCAGGGCACCTGCAGAAGGTAAGGTCTGTTATCACTGATTTATGAAAATTGCACCCAAAGGCAAAAGAACCAAGGCTTCAGAGAGTCCTACCAGTCTCTGTTTCAGAAATGAGGGGAGGAAAAGCCTCTTTATTGTTTACTTTGCAAGGGAGCCTCGCCAACTGAAGTGTAAACATTATCACCAAAAAAAAAAAAAAAAAAAAATTTTATTTGCCTCATGCACTTTAATGCAGAAGAGTTTTTCTATAATTATGTTTTATCTAGGAAGAAGGCTACTTGTTGAAAAACATGCACAGGAAGTCCCATTAGCCATCCTGGCTTTTCTTGCCACTATACATGAAAAGATCACTCTGAACCAAGTCATTTGAAGAAAAACTGTCTGCTCACTTGGGCTAAGCCTAAGTATCTAATGATATTTCCTGCATTCTACCTTGTCTTTTTTATACAAGAAAAAGAATCTGCTAGCACAGCCAAGATTCCTGGCTCAGCTGAATCAAACTTAGACCTGAACTAGGATCTTTCTTTAGTCACCTCAGATACAGTACAATTTCCAAAATAGCAGCATAGTGGTGAAAATACTGAGCCTGTACTCACAGCGTTTTTATGCATCTGAATTTGCCATCTGGCTTGATGACTCTCTAAATCACTGTGAAACACTTCACTCACATAAGGTGATATTTTTAGTTATATCTTCAGTTACAGTTTGGTCAATAATTCCCTGCCTTCCCAGAAACATTACTAAGTATGAGTCAGTGCTTACAAATGAAGTGAAAACTTTGGAGCACTAAGTAGATTTGTCCACTGTTCAGCAGTGCAGAAAATAGATCCAGCAGCACCTTTTTAAAATAAGTGATCTAGGTTTGTACATCATAGTACTACATACTGTGCACTAAGTGTATTTATATATCCATTCCATCTAGGAAAAAAAAAGTATGCTGGTATAGAAAAAGAACACGCCCAGATTAGATGTTACAGACCTGTGGAGTTCAACAGTAAATACATCCATTTGACTGTCAATGCACAGCCACTACATTCATGCTCAGGCTTCTGGCAGCAACCTCCAATTTGTATGTGGTCCCCTAAAAAGTCACCGTGCTTCAATCTGAGGTTACAGAAGAGAGCAGGCATATAATTTATGCCTCAGATTCTTTTACTCATAGCTTGATTCACGCTGAAGTTCCATGCATTATGCCTGGATAGGACAATCCTTGTCTTACTATTCAGAGTTCCTCCAAAAGCGGAACATGCGTATGGACAGTTGCTCAAGGATAGGAAACATTTTGTGGATATCAAGCCAAGTCTTCATTTCAGTGTAATCCTAGACTTCTCAGGTGAAATTAACACACATGCTATTAAAAAAAAAAAAAAAAAACTATAATTATTGTAGGCTGCTGCCCTCTGCTGCATTTCTAACGTACATGACGAGTATGCAGAGCTTTCACAGACAGACAAAAATCTGGAAAAGCCAGGATTCATGCAGAAAACTGGGCAATTTAAACTTTTTCACATGTGCTGGCATAACCCTAAGCTGATTCATGATTTCCTTCTGAAGTAGTTCATTTTTTCCCCATGGATCTACCAAAAAAGCCACTCAAAAGTATAATAAAAATCACCCCAAACTATACAAGTCCTAGCTCTTTCTAGGTTTAATGTTTATGTTTAAACCAACCCATCCATACAGCAAGACTGTAAAACAAAAAGCATTTAGATTTGGGGGGAGGGGTGGTTTAACAACATATTTGAACCAGAAGAACCAAGAATCCAAACATTTGCGTAACCGTGTTTGTGAATTCTCCCATCTTTCAGCTTCCAAAGTTAGAAAAATCAAGTGTCAAATTCATTTTAGAATTAAAAGCACACTCCAGTCAACTGCTCAAATAAAAGTCTTGAATACCTGTAGATGTGAAACATATAACCAGTGTTAATACATTCTGCCTGTTGGCCAGGTTCACAAATCTCTAACTGACCATTGAAGGTAACGTCTACCAGCACTGGAGAGCTAAGGCTGCGGAAACCTAACTCTTGCCTAAGAAGAGAGGTTATCACGTTATGAATCTGGTTCACATCCAGGGCAAATCTTGGAATAAATGGCATCAGAACAAATCAGATGTTAATCCTCTTAATTCAGTTTCCCAGGAAGTGATGCTTTGTTTCAGTGCAGGAAGGGAATTTCTGCAGGACATGAAGCATTTCATGATTACTTAGATCCTCCAGTATTTATGAAGTGTTCTGCATAGTCCTACATTCACACCCTTTACTAATGGAGATCAGGCAGGTTGAAGTCGAAAGACAAGGTAGTACATACTTGTCATTAAAATATATTGGATTAAGATCAGGTAGTAACCTTCCACGGTTCCATCAGGCTAGGGAACTTCCCCCCCCCCCCCCCTCCCCCTTCCTCCCCCCCCCTACACACCCTTTGCCAGGACGCCACCCATGAACATTTGTTGAGATACTGCTCCCCCCTAGTGGCTACTGTGTTAATTGTACTGTGGAGGCTGCAATTATAGAGTTGCTGCTGTTTGAATTCCAAACTTCCCGGATATTCCCATAGAAAGTAGGTGTATTCTTTGTAAAACATTCCAGTAGAATTTAATGAGGCAGTTAAAGCTTCAAGGTGATGGTGTCACTAAGTATGCATTAATTAAAGTCTATTGCATTTCTAAGCCCTCATAGTTAAAACAGAAGAATTTAAATGAGCAAACACAAAAGGCTCAAAAGCCACTGATCACTAAGAACTTCCCGTTTTCATTTGTTAAAAATTCAGAATTCCTAAACCAGCTTTAAAATGACATACAGTTGGGAGAGCAAAGGGAAAGTAATTTACAGTATTTGAATATTTAGACAGATATTCTACCATACTGAAAGCATTGTAGAAACATTGATCACATTTAACATAGCCCTGAAATGAACAGGGAGTAGAAAAAAGGAAAACTGATGGTCAAGTTCTGCTCAAGGCCATGCAGCAAGTTACCAGCAGAGACAAGATTACAACTCCAGTGAAAATTGCTAGATGTCGCCTGAGCCTTTTTTCTCAAATTTCATTAAGGACACCTCATGTTTAGTGTTACTACTGTTCATTTTATTTTAGCTTACTATACTTGTCATCTGTCAGCTTGACATCGCTATTTGCTTCCTGATCTACTCAGAGGGGACAGCTTAAACTTCAGCTGTTTGAGAACTAACCACCAGAACTTGAACTGAGAGTACCTTGCTAAACTATTTCATGCAAAATCAGTGATTGCTTGTTACGTGAAGTAAGGAACAGACTTCAGTACGGGGAGTCTACCCAGAAACTCTGACTCGGCACAATTCAGAACAGAAAGCTAGCAAGCAACTCCCACATATTCCACACACCTAGACAAACCATTATGGCAAACAAACTTAACACCAATATTTAGAGCAAAACATTGCATGTTTATTTCTGCCGTTCCCTGGTCTCATATTGCATTTTGGTTTTGCTCAAAGAATACCAATCCTGGAACTAAACATTCAACTCTCGTTTGTGAATCTGAGTGACTACAGAGTAAACCAGTCTTAAACCAAAGAAAACTATTAAGGTAGAACTTGGAAGAAATCTGTAATTTATCAAGCAAAAGAAAAATTCAACAATCTATCTGCTCAAGGCTGTAATCCCAACATGAAAGAAAGCATTTAAGACAGCAGCATAGCAAAATAGCATCAGGCAGCATGTAACAATAACGGCGGTTTAAAAGATGCCCAACGCCAACTACCACCAGTGTTGCTAGACCTCAGTATTCTAACTTAACACAGGTCACCAGTCTCTCACCTGGCTTGGAATTATGCTAGCCAGACCCTATTTCCAGTCTGTTTTCCCCTTCCCTGGGCCTTCAGGCCTCTGCTTCCATGGTTTCATGCAACCATGAAACTGTATAGTCAACTTACATGGGTTTGTGGATCAGTTTGGAAACCAATGGTGTAAAGGCAACTGCAAGCATCTAGGACATTTCAGTCTTGAGGGACTAATTTCAAAATGATTGCCTAAACAGGAACACAGGGCATCCTGAAAGCTTTTTTTTCTGTGTGCGTGCATAGGAGATGAACAGGAAAGAAAAAGCAGCAAACGGAAGGAATTGAATAGTCTCACATCTCCATAAAGCTGAGTGCACACAGCATGAAGCTCCAGCTGTACTAAAAATAAAAAAATAAAGTCAACATCTGAAGAAAGCAGGTGTATTTGGAAGATGAACTAAACAATTACTATGAGAAAATGAGTCACAGCAAGAAGGCCTGGATTAAAAAAAAAACACACAAACACACACACCCCCCACAAGCAACAAGTTGACATTTAATCTGTATGAAAGGTGAGACAACACAGGTTATTTACAACAGGAGACACTATTAGATCAACTTTATTATGTTATCAAAGCCAATAAAATATGCAAAATCTGTTGAACTCATTCATACACAAAAGTGGCATATAAAATGCTAGGTCTCAGATTATGTTCTGTACAAAATACTGTAAAGTGTAGAGCAGCAAAGTCATAGCCAAACATTCCCTGAATTTAAGAGGGCCTTAAACACACTGTGCTCCCAGAACTACCTTAATACTAAACATTCCTTCCTTTGGTCTGCAAGTCCTTTGCAGTTATTGCTAGTTATTGAAGCCTTCTGGTTTTTTTTTTTTTTTTTTTTTTTTTTTTTTTTTAAAAGAGAAGCACATTGTGACTCTGAACCTCTTCAGAAGTATTACAATGACAGCTGAAGCCCCTTCAGCATTCTCTCTACATTTTGTCAAAAATAAACACATTTGGTCCTCAAGACTGTTTTTGGTTTCTGAAAATATCCTGGGGAAAAAAAACAAACACACTGAACTTTTGTTCAGGAAAGAAAAAGACATGCTCCATGCATTTCAGGTATATGGAAGACATGTCAGTAAATTTAAACATTTCAACTGTGAAGTGTGGCAAAGCACCCGAGTTATTCCTCCTAAGGAAGTGCCACATTCTCTTCTTTCCATAAAGATGCTTTTCTTCAGACTTCTCCCTCTCTCTCCCCCCACAGGAGCCTAGAATGCTCAAGTGCAGGTGGCTCTAGCAGGCCTATAACAGTAATGCTATATATTCACGCTTTCAAAGGTAGAGAACCAAGCCTTAGCAAGTAGGGCCTTCTCAAAGGCTGAGTGAAATGGTTCTGTTTCAGTGACTAGAATGATATAATTTACTTGCTGCATTCACTTTACAGTGAACTCGGTATGAGACTGAAAGAATGCCCTAACTAAACAGGTAAGGATCTAAATGAAGCTTTGAAACATTCTCCAGCTCAGGTTAAGAACTGTTAGCCTATGTTTTTTCAGCCCTCGATGCCCACATTGGTGACCTGCAATACAGCCTCCAGCTCCACTCATCCAAGTGTTTATTAACAGGCATTCTACTTCAGAAAGAAATACAGAATGTGAAAAGCTGTATTTTCTGTAATTTCTTTCTGTTGTAAACCAGTGCTGTAGTAGCAATTTATTCAAAAACAGTCAGACCACTGGAAGAGTTTTACGCTTGAGCAGCCTTGGAACACAAATCTGAAGCTTATCCAACCAACAGCTCTGCACCAAATAGAACAGTCAGCTAAAAACTTACTGTGTGTGTTATTTCATTTCAGTAGTTACCATTTATTTACAAGTAGCTTGGGACAACTCGGTGCTAACTCTGAAGAAGTCTGGGCAATATAGCTGTGGAACTGTAGGTTCCTGGACGATCTTATTACAAGGTAAACATTCCATTTTAAAAATCAGAAAAATGGGTCCTCTCCTTCACCAAAAGGAATAGAGAATATGCAGGGATAATGAAGCCACATAAAAAGAAAGTTAAAACCTTGGAGTACACTTAGCTTATCCATTACCCTAGTTTCAGTTGCTCTGAATTTACAAATCACTTCCGAATTAAAACTTCGAGCCTTAGACCTACCCTGTGCCAAAATGTTTGCATTCTGCATTAACAAGAATTCAAGCCTATTGTCATTTCAACATTTATACGTTTAATGGCAGCAAACATTTTGTGTGTGCTACAAAAATAATTAAAGTTAAAATGTATTCTTCAGACCTCTTGAGCTTCCTAAGTAATGAAACCACAATATTTCTGATGAGTTTCTGAAACTCTTTAAATAAATTTTTTCCTGGAGGACCCAGCATTTGGAAAGCACCTGCAGTAGCTTTTTCAGAAAACTAAGTGCAGTGTAACTGGGTGACTGATTTTAAAGTAAGCAAGAGGGAATCTCTCCGTGAAATTATTTCTCCAAAAGGATTTCTGTAATCAAGGTTGCAAATACCACGGTCATTTAAGTTACCATTTCTTTGGAGTTCAGATCAGAAATACTTTTTAAGCACTTGAGTAAAACAATATTTAGCAGTTCAACAGAGCTGTATGCTACACAATTATCTAAACAGTTAAGGAACAGTATATCTTGAGACAGCAATAACAAAGTTTGTAATCTGTGAGAAGTGTATCTTAGTCTTAAAAGTTTCTTTGCAGCAATGTTGATCCAACCACTTCTTGGCCAGAAAACGGATCAGAGAATTAGGCCAAGAACAAGTTTATACTTCATACTGTATTACATTGGCTCCCCTCCCACTTCAGGAAATTCAGTTTCCATTTTTAATGAGTGCCCACTACCCATTATCACTTCCACTACAGGAGACATTTTTCACCCAGAAGTACAAAAATTCTGCACTGTATGCATTGTTTGCCAGTATTTGATTCTATACAGTTTTGTCTGATGTGCCATTCCACACAGCTTTGATTGTTGCAAGCATCGTCCACTGCTTAGCTTCTTTCCCCCATTGATAAGTAAAGCCTAAGGTGAATGGTCTTCAGACTATAAATTTTAAGTCATCAAGCTCTAGAAGTTGAAGAGCAAACAACTTTTTCTTAAAAAAAATAAAATCAGAAAAAGTTATCTAATAAGACGCTTCAAGTAATTCACACAGCTTTCCTCTTTCCCAAAAGCTTTAGCAACAGGAAGGCTGGATGTGACAAAAGGTAATGCAGTACCAAATCTCTTGCCTGCAATACTTAGTAGATACGCAGTTTTACAAATTAAGCTAAGTTTACTCTGCTTTCCAAATTCTTAATATCTTTCCCTTGTTTCATGGGCAACTGAAATTGCAATCCTTCCCAGCCCTCCCCCTCCAAACCCTTCAAAGCCCACACAAAAATCACAGAGTATGTGCAAGGGGCTGCACAGTCTCCAAATGAAAGTCTGTATGAATAGTGGATGTAATACCAGAGGTCCCAAAATGCATATTGGACCAAATTTTCAGAATGTGAAAATACCACAACGCATTAGGAATACAAATCAAAGACAAATTATCATTTAGGACACCAAACAACTTCTTGAACACAGAAAAAACAAAAACAAACAACCAAAATAAATAATTCAGCTACCTAAATATCAAGGGATCAAAAGGCATTTCCCCTAATTTAAGGAAAGGCATCATAGGTGAGGAAAATAACTGTCAACATAGGGTGTCACAAATCAAAAAGCAGCTTTTTCACATAGGAGATAGTAGTATCATTGGATAGCATTTGAATGTGCTCATTTCCTGAAAGCTCAAATATCACCACTTCCTGTTTTTGCATGTCCACCCATTTCTGGCATTGCAAGGCACTCTGTAAGTTCACTGTACCATCCCCATCACTGTAAAGGATCTTGGGCTCTTTATCAGGAAAGCTTTCATAATGGAAGGAATCAGGTGTTTCTACGCCAGTACCATAAAGACAGTGGATGCGCACACCAGGTGGTGTCATCTGGTACACCAGGGATTCAGTGTCCTGTCTCATGAGCCAGCCATCTTCAAAGCTGATGTCCCTGTAGAATTTTTGATAATCCCGGAGGGTGTAGTTGGTTGTAGGTGTGCTTACAAAGACCTTATCTGGAGGCCACGTGTAGTTATAGGGAAGCATCCAGTTTGTGGAAACTGCTGATCTCTGCTGGTCTCGAATCTTGAGTGAACTGATGACAGGTATTCTGTTGTTGTCACCTTGGGGGGCGGGAGGGGGTTGGAATTTCATTAGAGACAAAGCAATGCATGTGTCCTACACCCAGCAGCAATTAGTACCGCTCACAGTGATAACATGAATAACAGAAAACACACGTTCTCTTTGCTTACAGTGACAGTTGGGAAGACTCTTTACTCATTTGATTCTGTCTTGATATTTAACTTCTGCAAGCAAACTTCTGAACATACAAATTATAAAATATAAATGAACGAGTGAATGACAAACCAAGAACACTGCTGCCTTTCCAATATGGCTCTTTTTAAAGCACAAAACACCCCCCGTAGCAGCCGAGTGAGAAATCAGCCTTTATTAGGCATTATTTATACAATTTGTAAACTTAGTCTTAAACGTGTCTCTGGAAAAAATATTTTTATTTTATAGTGTTTCTGATCCTAGACCATGCTTTTGCTGAAAAAACAGATAAATATTACTCCTTACAACGTGTAAGGAGAACTCATGAAGAGACCTTTACAGGCTTCGCAAAAATGGTCAGTTTTGCGTGTTGAAAACTACTAATCAAGTTTTCCCTTACTTAGTCCAGGCAGTTACAGCATGTAGTTATCTAGGTCAACCACACCATAAGTAGTGAAATAATGAGACTGAAATCTATATTCTTGAAATAGCACTGAACTGTGCATTTTAAACATTCCATAAGGTGGCACTGTTGGTTCAGCAAGATCCTAAAGCACAGTCTTCAACTTTTAAGTGGACTAGGTGGAAATGTTGCCAGTATCACTCTGTGAAGCCGATTTTAAAAAGGAAACTTAAAAAAAAAAAAAAGGGGGGGGGAGGCAAGAATTTGGCCTGTTGGTTGGTGTGTTATTTGCCACTTTGATAAAGCAGCTGTGGATTTAACATTGAGTTCCTAACCATTAACATATTTTAAAAAGGAACGGGAGCAGAAAGAACGCATTACAGATTGCCCTTCCTACAGCCATGCAGCATTTTTCCTCTGAAGCAACAATTGTTCTGCGTATTAACACCCTGATAATTTTACTTTTATAATTTCTTTGACCGACTAACGCCGTCCAAGTGTTAATGCCTGGTGGTGGTGACTTATTACAGATACTTAAGACACAGTACTAACCTAAAAACATACACTTAGACATTATTATGTTCTGCCCGTTTAAGTTTCCTGTGGTATTCTGAACTCTGCTCTAAGACATGGCGTTTAATACAGCAGTCATACAGATTAAGAGATGACTACATTCTAGTAGCAATTTAGCTCTTCTTCGTTATGCGTTTGTATAGCTAGCTACTTTGGATGAGATGCATTATTAAGGATAAACAGGATATCAAGTATGAAAATTTAATCTAACAGAAATCTGAGACTGTGGAATTTTGTGTAATCGTGTGGAATTTTATAAAAGCAATTTTAACATTGCTCACTTCCTGCCATTTCTGTAGCATGCAAACTGGTCAGACAAAGCCTGTGGGAAAAGGGATATCAATTTTTACAGTGCCTTTGCAATAGAATAAACAGTCTAAAACTCAATGCAAATATCCAATTTAAGTTTTCTAGTTAGTAAGTTTGAGTTGTGCGTTCCTATTCAGAATCAAATGCCTTTGCTAAGCAAAATGTTCTTTTGATCTGTCCACGCATGGCTGGCATTTGGCATGTGCTCTGCATTTTGATGAAGTCCAGTTCTTTTGATGTCAGCTTTGCTTGGGAAGAAAATAGTGATATCCAAAGCTAGCAAATTAGAAGTAAACTAAAACACAAGCCGACACACTAAAACACAACACTAAAACGACATGAATTAAATAGCAAAGCACAAAATAACTTACTGTTTTGCCATGAAATAATCATGATCCCACCTGATAGTGTAAGTGAACTTTTTCTATCAGTTGTTAGCAATTACTCAGTGAAATATATTACACTTCTTTGGATATGCCCGAGACTAACAAAACGTAAATAGTTTACTACACCCAAGATCTCAAAGATTCACTTTCCTCATCTGCGGAGTTACAACTCTGGCAGCATTTAACCACCATGTCTACAAGTGTCCCTTAACATTAACCTCAAGCAGTCATATGATATTTAATCAAAACTAGTGAGTGTGCTGGAGTCCTTGTCAGCTTTGCAATACTGAACGGAGAGCAATCAGGCTGAAGGCAGAAGTGACAAAAATAGAAGGCACCAGGCCAAACAGCAGGTGACACAACCAGCTGTTGAAAAGAGGTTGGGAGGGAGAGGTCAAAAGAGGGGAAACAGCTCCTGGTTAAGGGATGTAAAAACTTAGTCCACTCCCATGAACAGAAAGAATGACAGTCTGGCCACAGAGACTGAAACATCAAGTTGCTATCACTTATGAAAAAGTTACTTTTAACTTCATAATACCTCAAACTCTCATCCTCCAGTCTTACAGTTAAAGTCTAGTTAACTACTGGTCTCAGCTACTACTAACAAAATAGAACGCAAATCCTTAAATTGCCTACCTGAAGCCAGCACACGGAGAGTTTTAGCAACTCCTCCCCATGGAGCACCTAATGACACGTAGTCCTTTATGTACTTGTCTTTCCAATCCTGAGTCTGATGGTTGAGGAAGTAGAGGGTGTACATATTACCCATACTGTGGGCAATTAAGACAACAGGACTTCCATATTGTTCATACATTGACTCTATCATCTTGCGAAGGGCCACAAAATAGTGTTCGTTCTCATCTAAAGTAAACATACACAGATTTCAAAACCTTATCAAAATCATTATTTGCGGAGGCTGTCCTCCAACACAATTATTTAAAAGCTTATTTTTTGAAATACTCAAACGCAGTGCAAACAGGCTTACATCAGGCAACATGCTTACAAAAGCATGATACTTTAAAACTCAGCTTTTTACTGTTTCTCTCAAACTTATTTAAGTATAGTTACAAACATTACTCCAATTCTTTACATCTTAAATTTGAATTTTTTTTTTTAAGACCAAATTTTCTGAGAAACATCCCATGCACGCTAACCTTTTCCACACAAAAGCCCCTGTAATAACATATGAACTTTAAATGACAATTGGAGCATAATTTTATAACAGTCACATAAAGAGCAAAAGTCAGCATTAGTGGTTTTCTTCAAGGAGCATCTTGCACGCCAAGTTTATATGCTTCAGTTTTAAATCTGTAAGTGTTATGGGCCAAGAGAAACATGATACTAGAATATTAGCATTAGCAATACACGTATGTTATTTCACAAGCTATATGACAAGTCTACAAACCCCTTGTGCCAAGTGGAATAGAATGAGATTACGAGTGTAAAATTATAAAATTCATACAGACAGAGGCTTAGAACAATCTGGACATCACCCCTCATTCCGCACTTTAAAATATAATTTATTCTTCAGGACGTAGTGAAAGCAGTTCTGTTAGAGTTGGTGTGACACCACAAAACTGTCGTGCTCTTAGCAAAGCTCCTGCTGTGGAATTACAAGTGCAGAGTTTAGAAATTCCAGTATTAATTTATGGTGTGTGTTTTTGTGGGTTTGGGTTTTGTTTGTTTGTTTTAAAGCAAGTCTTAAATAGCCAGTTCTTTAAAGGGAAAAAAAAGAAAAGAAAAAGAAAAAAGTCAAGATTAAGATTTTTAAATATAATTGTACAGGTGGGGAGGGGGAAGAGACCCAAGACATTTGTTGACTTTCTCAGCTGGCAAATAAATTTCATTCAAGTAGCAAAACATTATTTACTTGGTGCCTTTCGCCAGTCATAAGGTGCTCCTCTTACATCTTCGTCCCGTTTGTAGCCCCAGTCTACTAAACTCTGCACCAGCATATAAAAGTAACTGCCTGTAGACATCAGATGGGAGAGAAACAGAAAAAGTGAAAAGATTAGCATTAGAAGCAGCCATCAGGCAGGCTAATGATAACAAAACAAATTAGGCTCTGGTAATGCATTACCTCTGATTCCATGTATACGGACATTCAAAGCGTAATCTAAGAATCCCTGACAGTCTAGAAAGCTGCATATTAAGCAAAACAAATTATGCTCACTTTTCTGTGAAAGTGAAAGATTGCTGTTACTAAAACTTCTTCCAACTTGGCTAATTTATCAAACCACAGCAGAACGTGGCATACACAGAAGGGATAAATTTTCCTCAGCAAAACTACGTCTGAGCCTTGAACTAAAAAAACAAAACAAAACAGGAAAAAAAAAAAGCCCCACAAACTAAGAAATTACTACATTAGAATTCTGGCTTTTGTTGGTTGCCAGTTAACTTGAGGTAGGACATAATACATTCATAAAGGTTAACCTGGACTTTGCCAGCATTTGTTCTTGGAAAAAAACGCTTGCAATGTACCCTAGCGCAGAGTTCTGGAAACTACTGCAAAACTGGTTTTTTATATCTATCAGTTAGTGGACTGTAACTTAGGTGACTGACCATAATGCTCTAATGGCAAAGGGAAACATTTGTAGGTTGCTTGCAAGTATTTATGTTAAGATGGTGTATATTAAAAGGTTTGAAACATAGGATGCAGTTATTACCACTATTAAATGCATTTAGTAGTATTTTGGAAAGATGAAGGATCAGAACATCCTACTGAACATCACAGTCATATTTAAGTTTTGAGCAGTACCTCACTCACTCTGTTAGTCTTGAATGCTTATCATATAGTTACTAAAGTAAACAGAGACAAAATTTAAATAAGCCCTGTTCTAGTTAAAAGGCTTATTGACTTATAAGATCATGAGGGGCATTACTGCCCTTTTGGGGACCGCTCTCCAGAAAAAGAAAAACAAAAGAAACATGCAATGAAAGAGGGACCATGCTACAGTGAAGCCCAGTGCACTGCTGGCTGTTAAATTGCTCAAGTCTTCAACCACAGCTAAAACCTCCTTGCAAAAAGGTTGTCAGAGTCGTCATTTTCTGAAAGAAGAGTTCTAGAGTCCTACCAAAGAGACAAAACACACCTCCACCCAAGAAAACCCACACAATTAATGCAGAAATCTTAGAGCACAAATGTAATGATATAATCATTCTGACACGGACAAGACACAAGGAATTACAGAACGTGGCACTGTGTTTTTCCAGCCCATTAACTCATTCCGGAAGCCAAAGAACCCCTTACTTGATCAAGGCCAAGCTGAAACCAAGTTTTTTATTTTGTTTTTCCAAAACATAATGAGTCTTCAGTCACAGAATTTTCCATTCTTCCCATTTCATTTTTCAAAAGTGTCTTCAAGATGCCTATTCAAGTTTCATCCAGAAAGCTTGAACTTGGCACAAGACTAAATAGCATGAAGCTTTCCTGTCTCAATCAGGCCACATGACAGGCAAAACAATGGTGTAACTCAAACACTTATAAGCAAAGTGAACCATGTGCTAACCTACTTCAGAAGATACACTACAGTTCTACTTCTAAACAGAACTGTAATTTGAAATCTAATTTCAGTAGCTTACTGTGGAAAGACGCACTAGAAAAATCCTAAGATGACAAAGCACTTCAAACACAGCTTGTACATACCAACACTCCTTTTGCTTGGGTCAAGGAATTCCAAGGAGAACGTCTGCCCAAAGCCTGGCACTCTGATGTCCACTCCATCTGGTGGTTCTGTAATCTTACTTGTTCGATTATATACCAGCCTGGAGAGAAGAGGGGGAAAAAAAGAAAAAAAAACACACAAAAATATATGAAACATGCCGTATTACCACATAACAGCTCTCAACTAAAATGAGTCTTACGTTCTCCGAGTGCAGTAACAAGAACTTTAAGAGCTATTACCTAGAAGGCGAGGAAGAAAACAGAGGCAGACATGACAAGAGTACTCTAGCAGCTAAGTGGTTATATGGTGCAAGCAAATATTTTAATTAGTTTTATTCTGTCCGTGCAGAATGTAAGACTTATCTGCTCTGTAAAACAGCATACAGAAGAGTGGCTGGACTTCAGCTTCAGAAAGATATAACTGCTTTGTGTATTTCTGTATCATTTCATTTCAAGTCAAGCATAAAATGGAGAAAACTTGTCAAGAGCGTAAGAATGAAGGTGTGGCAGTAGCACATAAAATAGCTGTAAAATCAGATGTCAGTAAAGTGCCCCTGAACAGAAATGAGTTACTTTTATCTAACTAGAACACCTGTATCAGCATAATGGAGTGCTTGATACTTTTTTAACTAATAACAATAGCTACATAAGGAAACCTCATACAGGAATGAAGTTTTTTGTACATATTTTTCAAAACTATTTTGTGATATAAAGAACTTGGAGGGTGGGGTGTTTTTTTTGTTTTTTGTTTTTTTTTAAATACAACATCAATACAACTGCAGTTTCTGGAGCGCAGGTTTTCACCTTTCTCACAATCTGAACTGATATTCATGCATCAAAAAATTCTCCCTAACCTGTGAGGCAAACAGCAAGACTGAAATAAAGCAGAGGCACTACCACAAAATACAAAAACAAAAAATGCCACCGCCACAACAAAAACTTGCACAATCTCTACTTAGTCTATATACTATCGATCTATTTTCCAGTGGCTCATAAAAATGTAAGGGCTACCGTTACTGCTCATGTTTTTATCTTGGTTGCTTTAGAACCTTCCTTGGTAGGAGATTTCTGTTTAGTCTTTCAGCAGAAAGCACTAAGCTGCTACTAGACAACTCTATGGAATATATTTACTGAATACATATAACGCTATGAGGGAAACCAGTTTTAAAATGTTATCTGTGACAAAAAGATTGTCTAATGTGGATAGGTCAGTAAATCTAAAAGCTTTCAGGCAAAAAACCCATTGACAAATCCCTATGGTATTCTATTTACATTACAAAATATACTTAGGTCTGCATATTTATAGTTCTCACAAAGTTACAGGCAGAGATTTGCAGGAGATATAACATTACTTAAGAGAAAACTAGGATCAAAAATTCCTTTGAAGACACACAAAGTTCAAAATGGAAATGAGCAACAGTGGTAAAACTCACTTATGTCCTTATCTCCCAGTCTAGAAGAATGCCGATTTGTTGAAAAAGCTTACTGCACAGGGATTTCAAAACACAGGAAAAAAAAAAAATCTCAGCATTCAGGTCAATGTATATTCTGTAGATCTTTAATCAATAAAGACATCCTTTATGTTATATTTAGTACTGCAATGCAAGCTACCCCAGCCTTCCAGCAAGCTCTCTTGCTTATCAGTTGTAGCCACAACAATAAAAGTAACATTTAAGTGAATACAGTCATTCCTTGTCTACTGAATTTCCAGCTGCAATTTAAGGTGCAATATATGTCAATATGTTCCCACAGTCTTGAATACATTCATGCACTATGAAGACAAAGATATTACAAGTATTCAAAACATTAGGTACCTAGAATAGATGACTTGACTCTTAAAAGCCTTTTAATTTTTCAGATTTTGCTTTCCTTGAACGTTCAGAGCCATTAATAAATAAGTAAACAGTCACAGAGGATTCTGCCTAAACTACAGAGGCAAAAAGGGGGTTGTGAGGAGGCATTGCTAAACTTTCTTAACAGACTACAGAAAAGTTATAGCAGTTCTCATTTTGTTATGGAGGGAGAATTTAAAAAAAACTGCTGAACTGATTTTTTTTAATTTAACGTTGCCTCTACCTATCAGAGTTCTAAGTGATTTCTCTCACTGTTCTTGAATTGGAAGTCTAAAGTAGTCATTCTGATCAAAGCATATGAGTCTAAGAAAAGGAGACAAAAAAAAATCCAAAGTGCAACATTTCTGGTCTTACCTGATATTATCAATCCAGCAGTCAATAATGACAGGCAGAAGCAATTCTAAATTCAGCCAGAGCGTAAAATAACTGTCCGTCTTCTTAGAGCAGAGATAGTGCACTACTGATGGCTTATCTAATTTTGCTTCCAATTGATTACCTAAGTCCCCCGGAACTGAAAGATATTAAAGTAGATATATATCTTAATTTGAAATTCATTACAGATTTTTAATTATAGGTTAGTATACAAGTTTAATACTGTAGCCCTTATATGCTGATGGATTTTCAAAAATGATTAGCTGGGGAATCACCATGCAAATAATTCTAGAGCAACAGTTCAGTTACTTCAGAAAGCAGACTACATAGGAACAGGTCACGTTAGGGCATGAGTATCAACAGCAGATTGTCTCATACCTTATCAGAGTTATCTGTCTTCTAAAGTATAAACTGAATCTTTCTGAAAGAACTTTTTCTTCAGACAATTGCAACTGAATAGATTAAGTCCTTCTTTTTAAACAGTACCTGAAAACTATCAAATTTTTCATTTTCACTTCATCTCTTACTGCTATGCTGTTACACAATATTTAGTTGGATGGCATAATAATCCAAGTATAGGTTTATATCTTTTGCATTCAGGTCGGGAGGTAACAGCAGTTTTGGTCTTGGCACTGTCCTCCCCCCCCCCCCCCCCAAAACCCCAATAACACATGAGGGAAGAGTTTTATATTTGTACCTTCTCTGAAGTGCACTGTTCTTAAGGTATATGCTTCTGCTAGTATTCCTTCAATGGAATTTTATTTCCACTTATTTATTTTAAAAACCAGTTAGAAAGGAAGTAGACTTCCAAAGTAGAACTAAGCCTAAGAAATACTCTTGACATTTTCAGCAACAAGTTTCCAGAGGGGCTCCCTAAGCTTTACAATGTTTAATAGTTTTCCCTCACGAACAAAGATAACAAACGTACTCCTGTAACTGAAAAGTCTCTCCATACTAGGAAAAATTTAAAGAGTTGGACACCTTTCAGCTTTATTTTTCCATCTCTTCAGCTTTTTTTCCCTCCCACCTTTTTTGCATGTGTACAGCTGTACCCTACTTACATGCCAAAACTTCAATCCTGAAGCTTTTACGTATAGGCCAACATGCAGTTTGCTGAACAACTGAGAATACTTCTCACCGATAACATAGTACATTGCCAGGTATACTTCAGAACATAACTCGAACTAAATTTGTTTTGTTTTGAAACATTAGCTCCATCAAAAGTGAAGCAGCTAGTGTATACACCCTCTTGCTCCCAATTCTAGGGAATATCTCAAAAAAAATTCTTTCTGCTATATTCAAAGAGGTAGCCACATACTGCCAAGTAAAGCAAGCTCTGTATTCCAATTAAAAAGTGATAAAGCAAAGAACTTAAGTCATACGTAGCTCTACAGTACAGCCTAAGCCAAAGACTTCAAGTCTACCTCAGAGTGCGAGTCTCCAACAGAACAAAGTTAGTTACAAATGCAAATGGATGCACAACTGCTGGACCACCCAGCCAAAACTCCAGTTACAGGAGCACATAGCATCTTTCACCTTGGAAATAGTTTACTGTCTGCACTTTTTGTTGTTGTTCTGGACATTCTGAAACTCCGATATGAGGAAGCAAACAGCCATGGCTCTTTTCTTATTGAATCATGGGCCCCATTATTCTGCTTATCTACCAGCTAAGCGTTCTTAGATGGGCTGACACAGCTAAGATATTGCGCTACAGCAAAAGCACATCCCACTCATGCGACTCTCATTCTGTTTTCTTATATAGTGCTCAGATAGTAATTTACACATCAATATGTGATTTTTCTTTTCATTACAATTTTTCATTTAATCTCAGTCAGCTTCCACTGTACAGAGAATTTAGGCCATTTCTGACACCACAGTATATACTGTTCTTTCTCCAGAACAGGCTCCCCACCACAAAAATCTCTGGATACACATCACGGAGGAAAAACACCTGCAGAATTGCTGAGAAAAGAGGTCTATAAGCTTATTTTGCAAGTTGAGAAGGGTGGGATGAGGAAAGGGCTATGGAGAAGGAAAGAGAGAACAGGAAGCAAGTCTGCTTTAGAATACTTAGCAATGGCTTGAAGAAAGGGACACTATTTTTTACTGGAACAACTAACTTAACCTGAAAGCCAGGGATGTTGTCAGGGAAGCATTTATTGCAGAACTGGAAAAGGATAGTCCCTTAGAATTAGTCTCTTACACCCTTCCACCATCACAGTTGCCCCACCACAGAAGATAATACCCCAGAATTTCTTTATTGACTACTCCTACTTTCTCATTAGATTACAGAAATAAAAACACTAAAAGCCTAACTGAAACATTTAAAGACCCAGTAGCTCACCACAGTTTATTTTAGGTCATATTTCAAGGACTCTGACATACTGGAAAGCATAGTAAGGGAGATTATAGCATTGCATCATACACTGGAAAAAGTTTACTGAAGTTCAGTCTTGGAACCTCACAAAATGCTGTTTAGTTACTGCTTATAGAGCTATAAGGCAACAGCTGGTTCAACAACCTCATGCCTGTTCTGGCTGCTGTATCAGAGCTCTCAATTAGAAAAAGAACGGAATGTAATTCTATTTATATCAATCATTCCTGGCCGGCCAGTTTCAGCAGCAGACCTGCCAAGGACAAAACAGGTTGATTTTGTCTTCCATTCCAATGCAAAACAAAGTAGCTGAGTGACTCAGAAGAATAATAAGAGTTACATTTATCAAGAGTGCTGAAACTAATAAATTGTACAAAGTTTCAGTTGGAATTACTAGAGTGATCTTAGATTAACTACAAGTCTAATTTAGTTAAAATATTTAAACCTCAAGTTTTTTTGAGGAAAAAGGCTGTGCTCCTGTGTCAAATTCAAAGCAGAAGATGAGAAACATTCCATACTAATTTTTATTTAAGGAATGACAAAGTACAAATCGGTTAACTGAACAAAAGATTGAGAAGTGATAATTTCATATAATTCTAAGCAAAAGCAGAGGAACAACTTCCCACTGTGCCAAGATACAATACTGCAATTTAAAAATAGAGTCCCATGTACAGGTACATGTTTATAAAGCAAGAATTAACAAAATATTTTCTCAGGTTTACAGAGCCATCTAAAACATTTTTATATTGACAGTGAAGTTGTTAGTCACCAAAACTTCACATCCCATGTTTTATTTTCAAAAGTATATTCTGCAAACTGAAAAGGGTTCATGATGAAACTATAGGAAACAAAACAAGAAGTGTAGATTTTGATTTTTCAGATTATGAAAAACAACATGCAAGATCTTCAATGCTCACCCAACACAATTTAACAGTGTTAATGATTTACGTTTTGGCTGGAGAACTATTTAGTGGCTTTTTGATAAGTAACAGGTTGGAGAAAAAAAAAGTCAGCAGATCATATTGAAGATTAATTCCACTGGAAAAGAACAATAGCTTTCTGCATTTTCTATGATGAAATTTCAAAGTGACACAAAAAAAAAAATTTCCCTTTGCTCTCCGACCATACACGGAAAACACTTCTAGGCAGAGTAATTTATAAGCAAGTTATCTCTTCATCCTCTCACCTACCAGTATCCATAGTTTCTAAGCTTTTTTGCTGGAAACATTACAAGAGGTTCTAATTTTTAAAGCCTACAGACTGACCCTGTAAATTCACAAAATAATGGGCAAGTCAAGTTTTGCAAAATTCATCAGCACTGGTTAAAACTAGATGTCCAAGCAAAGATCTCAGACAGAACCCTAGCTTCTCTAATTTTCAGTTGTGTAATCCATGTACTGACTTCTGAATCGGAACTTTCGGAAAGAGAATGGAGTTTTCATATTGGGCAGAAAGACGTGTTTCTGTCAGATTTGTTCATTTAATCAGCTTTAGCATAATCTTACTTTTCACAAAGACTTAATTCCAACAGAAATGGTTCTGAGATGTTAATGAGCTCAATTTGCTTCTAATATTCCAATATCTTTCACTGGTTTTTGCCTCAACTGCCCCAACAAAACCAGTATATCTCCTCCTGGAATGTGTTTTTCTTAGATTTAACTTTATGCAAAGCACAACTTTAAGTTTCATTGGAGTGTTTAAAGACATTACAGACTTTTCCAAATCTGAAAATTATAATAACTAGCTTTACAATATAGTGACACACCTGCCTATCACTCTAGTAAAACCTTAAGGACTGACTCACAGTTCCAAGCAGAAAACAATAAGCAAGGTGCAGCCTGAAAAGTGACTTCTGTTAACATCCCTCAGGAAACAAAGAAAAGAGCATTCAATAAAAGCAAAGAATAGGGGGAATGGTCCTTTAAGATTATAACATTTGGAAAAAGAATAATAAGAAAATAGTATCTATGTAATAACTGAAAAAAATAAGTCTGTTGTTCACGTGGCAACGAGACCATCAGTTGCTACATTTTTTACTACATTTATCTGAAAGGCACATGCCTTGGATATACATAAACTATCACAACCTTCTTCCATGTAAAGTTTCTCAAACAAGCGTCAGCTTTTTCGTTCTATAAATTAGCCTTCCTTCACAGTGAACTAAGTTTTCTGGGATTTCATTTGAAATTCTGGCCACAGAATTCTCTAAGGAGGATGTCTCAAAGCAGCTTACATACTCGATGACAGGCTGCCACAGAAGGGGCTTGTGTTTAAAACCAGGAACAAGAAAGCAAACAAGATCTCACATGATACTTCTAGATACCTCAGATCACATGAGGCATAAACAGTTAAATCACTGCTGACATCTAGCTAACTGACCATACAAACACACACATCTCAATAAAAAAAGCAGGAATTCACGGGCAAACCTCTTTTGCATGGAAATCAATTATTAACAAACTTCATTTAGGTGTCTTTCTAGAAAACTTTAGCCAAGTACCTAACAAATTGTTTGCAGAAGGTATCAGAACATTGATATAGTAATTGTGTTGAGTCAGCTCTAAAAGGTAAAGAGTTCAGTGAATCCGCTGCTGATCTTATAAGGACAGGTTATCAGCCCCCAAAATTGATAAGACATCAAGTAATATGTAGTGACTATGGATAGACTATATGAGAAATCGAAGTTGAACAGCCACAAGTTAAAGGACCTTATTACCAAGAGCATTAAAAGACAAGTGTTTTGAATGTATAACCAAACTGATAAGAGAAGTGCAA